GAACTTCAACCTGGAAGCGAGTTAGCGTAGCGAACGAGCTAGAAGGCAAGTGAGGGAAGCGAACGAGCTCCAACCTAAAGGTGAGTGAGCGTAGCGAACGAACTTCAACCAGGACGTGATTGAGCCATGCGAACGAGCTCACTAATGAAGTTAAACGGGGCAAAGCCCGCGGGTACAGCTAGTTATATATGTGTAAGTACATTATAACACATGATATAGTATAGTTCTAAAATCAAATGCTCCTCCATTTTTACAAACGTAGGCCTATATAATAATCACCAGGAAACTTTAGATGCTCGTCCTGACCGCAGCGTCAAGGTGAGTAGCCTATTTACCTCATCTCCAACCAATGTTCCTACAATTTTCCCAAAAACGTATGTTAAGCATATACGGTACTTATTAGCAACAATTTTGTCACTGATAAAACATCTGCTCTGACCAAAATATAACAAAATTCCTCGCGTACTAACTTTTTCATATGTAACAAATTTTGACAAAAGGTTTTTAACAAAATGAAAATACATTAATTTATATTCGAAAAACAAACAACCTATTTACAGTTTTAACCAAACATTTGGCAAGAAACATTAATAGAGTGCTAAATATGATAATTTTAGTTCTATTCTAATTATGACAAATTACAAAGTCTGAACCGACGTTAATTTTGACCTTCCAACACTGTTGACTCAGTGAAACTGAACTTACATTTGATCGTATTTTGTCATATCAAAACTGCTATTGCATTAGGTCAAAATATCGATGTGTCAATCGCTTTGACAGAGACTACGTTTTCAGCACTGACTTTATTATTCAATCAATCAATTATAAATTATTTAAGATGGGGACGCCACTATGTGCGTCGGTAACCCAAATATGAGTGAATGGTGAGTGTGAGTGGCGCGATCTTGTAGTCTTGTTAGTGACTAAGGCCGACATGTTCCTTAGTCACAGCTGTTAATTAATAGCCCATACAGCTAATTGCAACTAAGGGACCTACAGTTTATTGTAGAATCCGAACCACAGGTTTTCCTCGTAATTATTTGACTCAATGGGATTTTGACCTACAGACACGGCAAACATTAGTTTTTGACCTATTGGCACAAGTATAAATTATTTGACCAAACGAACATTTGACTTCCAGCAACACAACACTCCCGAATTTTAAGTGGGAAGTGAATGGTAAATACGTTTGAATAAGCTTTTTATTCGAAAGCATTTTACACATACAAATGAATTTTTAGAAGAAAATTAAAATGATTGAATGAGTCATGCATTTGAATCTAAGGAATGAGTAAGGAACCTTCATCAGACGAAAAACGTTTTAAAAGTTAACTGATAGTTTGAGAGGACTTAAAAGTCCGCAAGCACTTCTCGTGGCGCTTTTCAATATCGCAACTAGCTAACTGAAACCATAGACAAAAGAATTAAATTTAATATAGACTGTCAGCCGTGCTGCGGCTACCATAGGTTCTGGCGCTCACCGCTGGGAGTGCCGTGTAGTTACGTAGCACGTACGCCGTAACTACATGGCACCCCCAGCGGTGTGCGTCAGAACCTACATATTGTAAGCGCAGCACGGCTGACGGTCTATTTTTAATTTTTTATCTATTTGTACAAAAAGAATATACACCGTCAGCTGTGCGGAAAAAATCCCCAAAAAGTGTAAATTTAAAATCACCATATGTTATTCTTATATCTTATGGAGAACTAGCTGGCTCGACAGACGTCGTCCTGTCCTAATGTGGTTTTATGTCAAATGCTCGTTCATTTTCAAGATAGCTCGTTCGCATGGCTCAATCACGTCCTGGTTGAAGTTCGCTCGCTACGCTCACTCACCTTTAGGTTGGAGCTCGTTCGCTGCGCTCACTTGCCTTCAGGCTAGCTCGTTCGCTAGCTAACTCGCCTCCAGGTTGGTTTTGGTTGCAAATTAGCTGTTGTCATAAATAAAAAAATAGCGCTGCACTCTGTTGGTAAACCTATTAACTTTTTATGCTATTGAACATCACAGAATCAAATTGTTTAAATGAACCAGCTGTTAAGATTCTTTATTTCCATTTAATTATGAGTACTCATAAGGTAACATGGGAAACTCCAGAGCCACTGGGGTGGATCCGTCCCTTTTGACGGATCTGCACCAAACTTCACAAAAACCATCCTTGAATAATGCTTAATAATGCCTGAAAGTTTCATTACAATCTGTCGAGCGGTTTCGGAGTCCATAAAGGACAAACAAACAAACAAACATACAAACAAACATACATTGGATTTTATATATATAGATAGGAAATACATCTGACAATTAATTTGGAAGAATAATTTAGAGGAATTCCAACGGTATAAGGAAAATCGCTTGGTCTGCAGGACTGCAGGTTTGCTGCGGCGGGGGTATTTTGTATTTAACAGCGCAGATTTGAGACTGCAGGCAGAGAGTCAAGGCAGCAGAGAGGACTAAGGTAAGGACTAAGGAGAAAAAAGAAAAGAATATGAATCTGTTAATAGTGCAGTAAAAATAAGAGAAAAATTCCATAAACCTAAAAAAAAATAGCACAACCCGGGAATTTGGTACAGATGTTGGGTGTACCTTCCTTTTGAACATACTAAAAGTCCCCTAAAATTGAAGCTGTGCTACGGCCGCCATATTGGAAAATGGCGGCATATTTCTGTATTTTTCGCTATAGTGACTTTATTATTAGAGATACAGGAAAAAGCCAAACATACAAAATGTAGGTCATCTAAAACTACACATTTTTTGTATTTACCATCTTTCCCTAAACCCAACGGGTTTTGAGTTATTTGTTATTAAGTATATTTAGTTTTTTCTATTTATCAAAAAATGGTGAAACACATGGAAATTGACCGTTACTTTCAAGGATTATGATAATTTATCCCATTTAGTTAAATAGTATGATACTACACAATCTTAAAATTTAAGCTTATTTTATGAGTAAAACAACTCCGCCACAGCAAACCTGCAGATTTAGCAAATTTCCATTTGATTGGATGTTTTATTAATTTAGGTACTTAAATGAAATTAGATTCAACAGGTACCCAGGTTTGCTGCTACAGGTATGTTATTATAGTGTTTTTTTTTTTAGTAAAATCTCAATAACTCAGTATTAAATAACTAATTTTCCAAGTTTGATCATAATAAATCTATAAACAAACAATCTACAACAGTAAACTAATTCATAAGAATAGCATGTTAGTTTAAGATTTACAATTTACAAATTTAAATATACAAATTTTCGAATACTAACCGAAGGGGTTTTCAAAAGGAGGTGAAGCAAGTTATTTAAGTACTGTAATATTAACTCGTACCAAGTATCGAAATATTGTATGCGGTCAGGTAATCAACCATATTTTGTAAAGTACGCAATAGTCATATTAATATTTTATACTCATTTTTACCCATTTAATAAATTAACATTTTAATATTTTGATGGCACTACCACTATCACTCTGATATCAACTATTAAGAGAGTAAGTGGGATGAATAATTTTCGTAAACCTCGAAAGTAACTGTCAATTGCGATGGGTTTCACCGATTTTTGATAAATAAAACTAACTATACTTAGTTTTCAAACTATACTATACCATACTTAATAAGTCACCAACATGAAGTAGACACGAAAAACAGCCTTCTAAATTTACAATGGGGTGTCAAGTATAGTTAGTTAGTGTGGTGGTGCCATCAAAATACTAAAATGTTAACTATTAAAGGGGGAAAAAATGAGGATAAAATATTAATATGACTATTGCGTACTTTACAAAATATGGTAGATTATCTTACTGCATACAATATTTTTGGTGCTTAGTACGAATTACTATTAGTATTACTTAAATAACAGGCAACATCTCCTTTTAAAAACCCATTTGGTTAATATTCTAACCGTGACGAATAATCACCATCTTTAGTAAACACAACCAAAATTTGTATATTCAAATTTGTAAATTGTAAATTTAAAACTCCCATGCTATTCTTATGAATTAGTTAACTGTTGTAGTTTGCTTGTTTATAGATATATTATGATCAAAGTTGGAAAATTAGTTATTTTCTAAAGTTATTGACATTTTACTAAAAAAAAACACACTATAATAACCTAACCTACCTGTAGCATCAAACCTAGGTACCTGTTGAACCTAATTTTAATTATATACATTTTTAATTAAACATACAATCAAATGGAAATTTGCTAAATATGCAGGTTTGCTGTGGCGGAGTAGTTTTACTCATAAAATAAGCTTAAATTTTAAGATTTTATAGTATCACACTATTTAACTAAATGGGATAATTTAATTTATCATCATTCTTGAAAGTAAAGGTCAATTTCCATGTGTTTCACCATTTTTTTATAAATAGAAAAAACTAAATATACTTAATAACAAATAACTCAAAACCCGTTGGGTTTAGAGAAAGATGGTAATTACAAAAAATGTGTATTTTTAGATGACCTACATTTTGTATGTTTGGCTTTTTCCTACAGGACCAAAAAAAATTAGCACAACCGGGGAATTTGGTACAGATGTTGGGTGTACCTTCCTTTTGAACATACTAAAAGTCCCCTAAAATTGAAGCTGTGCTACGGCCGCCATATTGGAAAATGGCGGCATATTTCCGTACATTTAGATACATCTCTAATAATAAAGTCACTATAGCGAAAAATACAGAAATATGCCGCCATTTTCCAATATGGCGGCCGTAGCACAGCTTCAATTTTAGGGGACTTTTAGTATGTTCAAAAGGAAGGTACACCCAACATCTGTACCAAATTCCCCGGTTGTGCTAATTTTTTTTGGGTCAAAACATATTTTTATTGTACTATAAATGTAAATGTCAATCGCAATTCGCAATGTCTATGTGACTCGACGTTCTGTACCCACGAGCACCTCAGCTTCCACAAGTTCCACAAGCAGTAAGCACAGAAGGCTTTCGAACAGTTCCTTCCTGGGATAACTTGTTTAATAGCTTCACCGTATATTATCTTTATTGGACCTGTTTCTGTTTAGATAGTTGTTTTTTTCAGCAGTTACAGACAGTTGCGAACTGTGCATTGTGCAACGTGTTGTGTTGTTGTGTACTTGAAAAGATTGAATTGGCGGTAATTTTTGTTAGAACGAAATCGGAACAATATAACTTAACTTGTCTTGTCGATTTTAAATCTGAAATGTAATTACATGAATCTATAAGGCGTAAAATATACCTACTTCATTCATGGTAAGTTTAGTTGATAAGTTATAGCCTTAAGTCCAAATTAGCAAGCAAATGCAATTATGATTTTTGTCGTGTTCAACGCACTATTGTAAAGAATGTAAACAATCTGAAGGTAATAGGCCTATTATTTAACAACTCGGATAATTATAAGGTAGGCCTATATAGGTTTTTTTATAGGTGCTCCCTCGGAAAATTCGTTTTTTTTTTTAGGAAATAACGCCCTGATTCGTATACGGTAATAGTTTTTTCCGCGCAAAACGTCGAAAAACCCCGGAAAACGGAAAAACAACATTTTTGCGGAAATAGATAATGTGGGTAGGCTACTCAAATTAACCGGTAGAGCAAGCTGAACAAGAAGATGGATAAAGTAACGGAGATATTACGGCCGGGAAATCGTCGGAAAACTGAAAAATAACTAAGGTTAACTTAGTCATGACTGGAACGGATCCAAACCTAACCTAACCCAACGTAACCTAACCAACGCTTATCCGGTTGTATCTTAGTTATTTTTCCATTTTCCAATAATTTTCAGGCTGTATCTCCGTTAACTTCGGCTAATATCCATTGGATCTTGAAACTTCTTGCATACGGTAAGTTATTCTTGTTCAGCTCGCTCTATCGTTTAGTTTGAGTAGGCCTCCCCACATGACTGATTTCGACATGAAAAATATTTTTTCAAGGTTTTCCGACGTTTTGCACGAAAAAGTCAATTTCAGAATCAGGGCATTATTTACTAGGCTACATAAAAAAAAAGAATATTTAACTATCCGATGGTGCCCTGAGAAGGTAAGAATTACCAATTTAGAACCTAAACTTTACCTAGCCTAATCTCACCTAATTTCAAAACACAGCCTAATAGGTCATGAACCAGCATAAAACCCGACCTAAGTTTAGCTACCTTCCACACGTTGGTACCGTAGCCTATCTCTACTGGTAGGGCCTAAGCCTTTCTATAGGTACTAACTTATATTAAACAGAATTTAGATTGTTTCAAAAATTAGGTTAGAATAGTGTCATTTTGTAATTCTGTAAACTTGCATCCTTTTCTTAGCAATGTCATTAAAGTAGTCGTCAGGGCCTAGATTAAACTTGTTCTCAAACACAAATAATTAAATGATTCTGATAAGGATAATTTTTATTTTATCACTGCAAATAATTTAGCACCGTTCATTTTCAGAAAAAAATTCTAGTTTCTACTGATACTGTATTACTTTTAAAAGTTAAATTTTCTCGTGAATAATTAAGTACTGTAACTATAGGCCCTACTTTGGCAGAACTTTGGTACCTAACTCATTGTATTATAGATTATTGCAATCAGTATGAAATGTTTAGGTTTAGTTAGTTTGAGTTTGGTTATTGATCAATTTCATAGTCTTACTACTGTAACTTATTCAATGTAGACGGAATGATGTAGGCCTAGTGCTGTCAGGACCGCCCTGGGCGCCGCGGCTAAGAGGGCGGTGCGGCTTTGGAAGGTAAAAAGTTTAACGTTATCGGCAAACCGCAAACGAATATTTTAGAGGAAACTCGTAAACATGTAATCAATGACAATGACTATTCAAAAAGGCAAGGCTATAGCTTTCGTTTAATCATAAAATAAATACCGTTATTTAATATAAAACTCGTACTATTACTACTTCTACGTCTGGCATGTGAATTGTTGGCAATACTGCGAGTCTGAGACACACACTGCGTATTCGCCCACACGCCCCTCCTATACTTGCTTGTTTCAAACCTCAAAGGTCAAACTCTTAAATCAACTCATAGTCGTTTCGTGATGTACGTTGTGAGTCGTAAATTCAATGTTTTTAGTAATTTAGTTCAGTGTAGTTGTTACGTTTATAAAGAATACTTGCAAAACGTTCCATACCGATATATCGGACGTTGGGTCTATTGACACAAACCCCCCAAATACTTTTTTTGGGGAGGTGGCGAAAATTTAAATCTCGCCCCGGGCATCTATTACTCTCGGGGCGGCCCTGAGTGCTGTAGACCGTTAAGTCTGTGCAAAGGCCTGAGGTGATTGAGTTTGGTCTTCAGAAAGAGTTGTATGTATCTCTAACAAAAATACAGGGTCTTAGATCAAGGGTTACAATCATAAAGTACTGTAATTGGTCAGTTTTTTTTGTGCAACCATAGCCTCTAAATAAATAAGTATTGATGTGTGGCACAGGGTCTTAGATCAAGGGTTACAATCATAAAGTACTGTAATTGGTCAGTTTTTTTTGTGCAACCATAGCCTCTAAATAAATAAGTATTGATGTGTGGCAACATCGCACCAGCAAGCTTGCTGCCATGGTAATAACAGAAATAACAAATGTGTAAACATTAACATTGCCAAGACATTCCATCATAAATTAAGTTGTTGGTTAGTATTAGCAAAGGCTGTTCTGGTTTTCCCGGGAGAGCAGACATGTTAATAGTTAAGTATGGTATGAAATAAATAAAGTATCCAAATTTGATACAAATATGTTCTTTAACCAAAATACGGTTGTACATAACTATTTTTACGAGGGACTATTTAACTATACTATTTAACTATACTATTGTACGAAGGACGGGTGCTCTGCTAGTTAATATATAGATGTGAAAGTTTGTGTGTTTGTTTGAAGTTCAATCAGGTATTAACTACTGGACGGATTGGGCTGATATTTGGCATAATGATAGCTTACATTTCCAATTAACATATAGGCTTATTCTTATCTCAAAAATCCTATCGGGTTCCGCCCCAGTGGCTCTGTAGTTTCCCATGTTAACCTTATGAGTATTCATATTTTAAGGGAATTGAAGAATTTAGTCACCTGTTTCAACTCAAAAGTTTGTTCTATGATATAGAAAAGCATTAAAAAGTTATAAGATTTACCAACAGTGTGCAGCACTATTATTTTTTTTGAATTTATGAAAACAGCTCATTTGAACTATGGAGCAACAAAAAACTGTGATACGCAATGAGAACTGTCAATAGTTATTTTTGTAACTAGTGAGCAAAGTGGCACTTCGCTGAATTACCTTGAGTGCAGAAAAAGCCTTTTGCACTCTTGTTACACATTATATTTTTCCTACAGTCACTAAAGCATATAAATAATTAGTCTTTCAAACACTATACAACACGTTTTTAGGTTCAGCTGGCAACACAAATAGGTGCCCTAGACTCTAGAGAAAGTAGTACCCGGTCCGTATCACTCCGCTATTTTTTTTTTCGGCAAGCAATGTGCTCCGTGACTTGAGAAAATAGTTCCGTATATTTTTGTAATTTGCAGTGGTTTCCGCGCCTAAAAAAATGCTTTAAAGGTATTTTCTTGTTTATTAAGATCGTAGGAATGTTTTTAAAACGTTTAAAAGAAAAGTCCAGGAAGTTCAGAAATACCGAAAAGAGAACATAAACTATAAACACGAAATGACAGGTTAAATCGTAGTTATAATAGTCAATCAACTGCTCATAGTATTGTTATCTTTAAGTGTTGCCAACCTATTTCCAAGCGTACACGGATTACGAGCATAATAGAACCACGCTGTTTTGTGTTGTTTTGTTGGAATCCTGATGTGCGCCAAAGTAAAAAGCGTACGACAAAGTATAAACCGTACGACAAAGTATAAATATGCAGCAATTAGCAGCTTTCTGTACTATAAACAGTACAAGGAAGCCAACTTTGTCGGGTGACTGTAGGTAAAGTAGGATTGTTTACAGTTATGTTTATAATTTGTGATATTTTGAAAATTTTTGATAATTTATTTTCCCTATTGTTTAGGTGAAATAGTAGAACATTTTGGCTATGTTAGATGTGTAATGAGTGAAAATTTTGAAACGTATGTTTTTATGTCCCCGGCCTTTTACTTCGTAGATACTGAATATGTAATTTATCATTATGTGTTTTAATATATTTTGGGACAGGGGCAACATGTTACACACAAATATTTGGCTTTAAATAGGTTCTAGGGATTTTTTTCGTATTTTTAAAGTCTCGAAACTCACGACCGTCATGTGTCCCTAGGGTACATTTTGCAACTTTCATGCTGTTTTTAGAATAATTATTCATGCCGAAATATATAATGTCATATTTTTTCCTACAGTTACCTAACAATGTACATGTTCTCTCACTGATTTGAGAAAGCAAAGTGGCCAATTCGCTCATCAGTGAGACAATGTTAACATTGTCTCACTCTAATTACTTTGTCTCACTCCAGATTTGCAACGTGAAGGCACGAAATAGTGAGTGCGTAGCATGCAGGCAACGTCGTATGCGCGCGAAGTACGTTGGCAGCACTGGCTGTAAATCAGCTGGTCAGCTGTTGTTCTGTTGTATTTGTCACTTCACATTAAATGTTATATTAAAAGTTCACTTCTGTGTAAAATAGGTTATGTTTCTTCACCAATTTATTTGTTTTATGGTAACTGTAAGAAAAGTATAATGTGCAACTCGAGTTCAAAGTACAATTGTCTCACTCGAGAAACCATTCCTCACTCGCCTACGGCTCGTGAGTAAGGATTTCTCTCGAGTGAGTCAATTGCTCACTTTTCTCACTAGTTGCCGGCTCGTGAGTAAGGATTTCTCTCGAGTGAGTCAATTGCTCACTTTTCTCACTAGTTGCACAAATAACTATTATTACATCAATAGTTATTAAACTTACGAAAAAGGAGCATATGATAATTTTGTTTTCATTGTAAACTGACCACCATGACTAAATAGGTCTGTCCCTCGATTTGACGTCACGACCATTAGGGAAAAATTTGCAAGTTTGGAGCACGACAGTGGCAAGCCTGGCGTCAATGGAGTCAGTTGGTTTTAGAGACTAGTTCGGGGTGTACGTCAGGATTGCAGTGCCGGTCGTTTCGAGTTGAAATGAGGAATTACAAGATTAATAAAGGCAAGTTTGTGTTTTTTGTAATTTTGGTGTGTCCACGACCATACGTAGGTAGTCATTTGATGAAGTTTTTTTTTTTTTAGGGAGAGGAGGGAAAATGCTTTTACGCACACAGGTAGCCAGCCTGTAGTGTGAGACTC